AGAACAAGGGCCTAGCGTGTGCAAAATTGCAAGAACAAGGGCCTATCGAGTGCAAAATAGCAACAGCAAGGGCCTAGCGTGTGCAAAAAATCAAGAACAAGGGCCTAGCGTTCGCGAAATAGCAAGAGCAAGAGCCTAGCGTGTGCAAAATAAAAAGAACAAGGGTCTAGCATGTGCAAAATTGCAAGAACAAGGGCCTAGCGTGTGCAAAATAAAAAGAACAAGGGCATAGCGTGTGCAAGATAGCAAGAACAAGGGCCTAGCTTGTGCAAAATAAAAAGAACAAGGGCCTAGCGTGTGCAAAATAAAAAGAACAAGGGCATAGCGTGTGCAAAATTGCAAAATCAAGGGCCTATCGAGTGCAAAATAGCAAGAGCAAGGGCCTAGCGTGTGCAAAAAATCAAGAACAAGGGCCTAGCGTTCGCGAAATAGCAAGAACAAGGGCCTAGCGTGTGCAAAATAAAAAGAACAAGGGTCTAGCATGTGCAAAATTGCAAGAACAAGGGCCTAGCGTGTGCACAATAAAAATAACAAGGGCATAGCGTGTGCAAAATTGCAAGAACAAGGGCCTAGCATGTGCAAAATATAAGAACAATGGCCTAGCGTGTGCAAAATAAAAAGAACAAGGGTCTAGCGTGTGCAAAATTGCAAGAACAAGGGCCTAGCGTATGCAAAATTGTAAGAACAAGGGCCTAGCGAGTGCAAAATAGCAAGAGCAAGGGCCTAGCGTGTGCAAAAAAACAAGAACAAGGGCATTGCGTTTGCGAAATAGCAAGAACAAGGGCCTAGCGTGTGCAAAATAAAAAGAACAAAGGCATAGCGTGTGCAGAATAGCAAGAACAAGGGCCTAGCGTGTGCAAAATAAAAAGAACAAGGGCCTAGCGTGTGCAAAATAGCAACAACAAGGGCCTAGCGTGTGCAAAATAGCAAGAACAAGGGCCTAGCGTGTGCAAAATTGCAAGAACAAGGACCTAGCGTGTGCAAAATTGCAAGAACAAGGGCCTAGCGTTCGCGAAATAGCAAGAACAAGGGCCTAGCGTGTGCAAAATAAAAAGAACAAGGGTCTAGCATGTGCAAAATTGCAAGAACAAGGGCCTAGCGTGTGCAAAATAAAAAGAACAAGGGCATCGCGTGTGCAAAATAAAAAGAACAAGGGCCTAGCGTGTGCAAAATAAAAAGAACAAGGGCCTAGCGTGTGCAAAATTGCAAGAACAAGGGCCTAGCGTGTGCAAAATTGCAAGAACAAGGGCCTATCGAGTGCAAAATAGCAACAGCAAGGGCCTAGCGTGTGCAAAAAATCAAGAACAAGGGCCTAGCGTTCGCGAAATAGCAAGAGCAAGAGCCTAGCGTGTGCAAAATAAAAAGAACAAGGGTCTAGCATGTGCAAAATTGCAAGAACAAGGGCCTAGCGTGTGCAAAATAAAAAGAACAAGGGCATAGCGTGTGCAAGATAGCAAGAACAAGGGCCTAGCTTGTGCAAAATAAAAAGAACAAGGGCCTAGCATGTGCAAAATAAAAAGAACAAGGGCATAGCGTGTGCAAAATAGCAAGAACAAGGGCCTTGCGTGTGCAAAATAAAAAGAACAAAGGCCTAGCGTGTGCAAAATAAAAAGAACAAGGGCCTAGCGTGTGCAAAATTGCAAGAACAAGGGCCTAACGAGTGCAAAATAGCAAGAGCAAGGGCCTAGCATGTGCAAAAAATCAAGAACAAGGGCCTAGCGTTCGCGAAATAGCAAGAACAAGGGCCTAGCGTGTGCAAAATAAAAAGAACAAGGGTCTAGCATGTGCAAAATTGCAAGAACAAGGGCCTAGCGTGAGCAAAATAAAAAGAACAAGGGCATAGCGTGTGCAAGATTGCAAGAACAAGGGCCTAGCTTGTGCAAAATAAAAAGAACAAGGGCCTAGCGTGTGCAAAATAAAAAGAAGAAGGGCCTAGCATGTGCAAAATTGCAAGAACAAGGGCCTAACGTGTGCAAAATTGCAAGAACAAGGGCCTAACGAGTGCAAAATAGCAAGAGCAAGGGCCTAGCATGTGCAAGAAATCAAGAACAAGGGCCTAGCGTTCGCGAAATAGCAAGAACAAGGGCCTAGCGTGTGCAAAATAAAAGGAACAAGGGTCTAGCATGTGCAAAATTGCAAGAACAAGGGCCTAGCGTGTGCAAAATAAAAAGATCAAGGGCATAGCGTGTGCAAAATAGCAAGAACAAGGGCCTAGCGTGTGCAAAATAAAAAGAACAAGGGCCTAGCGTGTGCAAAATAAAAAGAACAAGGACCTAGCGTGTGCAAAATTGCAAGAACAAGGGCCTAGCGTGTGCAAAATTGCAAGAACAAGGGCCTAGCGAGTGCAAAATAGCAAGAGCAAAGGCCTAGCGTGTGCAAAAAATCAAGAACAAGGGCCTAGCGTTCGCGAAATAGCAAGAACAAGGGCCTAGCGTGTGCAAAATAAAAAGAACAAGGGTCTAGCATGTGCAAAATTGCAAGAGCAAGGGCCTAGCATGTGCAAAATAAAAAGAACAAGGGCGTAGCGTGTGCAAAATAAAAAGAACAAGGGCATAGCGTGTGCAAAATAAAAAGAACAAGGGCCTAGCGTGTGCTAAATAAAAAGAACAAGGGCCTAGCGTGTGCAAAATTGCAAGAACAAGGGCCTAGCGTGTGCAAAATTGCAAGAACAAGGGCCTAGCGAGTGCAAAATAGCAAGAGCAAGGGCCTAGCGTGTGCAAAAAATCAAGAACAAGTGCCTAGCATTTGCGAAATTGCAAGAACAAGGGCCTAGCGTGTGCAAAATAAAAAGAACAAGGGCATAGCGTGTGCAAAATAGCAAGAACAAGGGCCTAGCGTGTGCAAAATTGCAAGAACAAGGGCCTAGCGTGTGCAAAATTGCAAGAACAAGGGCCTAGCGAGTGCAAAATAGCAAGAGCAAGGGCCTAGTGTGTGCAAAAAATCAAGAACAAGGGCCTAGCGAGTGCAAAATAGCAAGAACAAGGGCCTAACATGTGCAAAATAAAAAGAACAAGGGTCTAGCATGTGCAAAATTGCAAGAACAAGGGCCTAGAGTGTGCAAAATAAAAAGAACAAGGGCATAGCGTGTGCAAAATAGCAAGAACAAGGGCCTAGCATGTGCAAAATACAAGAACAAGGGCCTAGCGTGTGCAAAATAAAAAGAACAAGGGCCTAGCGTGTGCAAAATTGCAAGAACAGGGGCCTAGCGTGTGCAAAATTGCAAGAACAAGAGCCAAGCGAGTGCAAAATAGCAAGACCAAGGGCCTAGTGTATGCAAAAAATCAATAACAAGGGCCTTGTGTTCGCGAAATAGCAAGAACAAGGGCCTAGCGTGTGCAAAATAAAAATAACAAGGGCCTAGCGTGTGCAAAATTGCAAGAACAAGGGCCTAGCGTGTGCAAAATTGCAAGAACAAGGGCCTAACGAGTGCAAAATAGCAAGAGCAAGGGCCTAGCATGTGCAAAAAATCAAGAACAAGGGCCTAGCGTTCGCGAAATAGCAAGAACAAGGGCCTAGCGTGTGCAAAATAAAAAGAACATAGGTCTAGCATGTGCAAAATTGCAAGAACAAGGGCCTAGCGTGTGCAAAATAAAAAGAACAAGGGCATGGCGTGTGCAAAATAAAAAGAACAAGGGCCTAGCGTGTGCAAAATAAAAAGAACAAGGGCCTAGCGTGTGCAAACTTGCAAGAACAAGGGCCTAGCGTGTGCAAAATTGCAAGAACAAGGGCCTAGCGAGTGCAAAATAGCAACAGCAAGGGCCTAGCATGTGCAAAAAATCAAGAACAAGGGCCTAGCGTTCACGAAATAGCAAGAGCAAGGGCCTAGCGTGTGCAAAATAAAAAGAACAAGAGTCTAGCATGTGCAAAATTGCAAGAACAAGGGCCTAGCGTGAGCAAAATAAAAAGAACAAGGGCCTAGCGTGTGCAAAATTGCAAGAACAAGGGCCTAGCGAGTGCAAAATAGCAACAGCAAGGGCCTAGCATGTGCAAAAAATCAAGAACAAGGGCCTAGCGTTCACGAAATAGCAAGAGCAAGGGCCTAGCGTGTGCAAAATAAAAAGAACAAGAGTCTAGCATGTGCAAAATTGCAAGAACAAGGGCCTAGCGTGAGCAAAATAAAAAGAACAAGGGCATAGCGTGTGCAAGATATAAAGAACAAGGGCCTAGCTTGTGCAAAATATAAAGAACAAGGGCCTAGCTTGTGCAAAATAAAAAGAAGAAGGGCCTTGCATGTGCAAAATTGCAAGAACAAGGGCCTAACCTGTGCAAAATTGCAAGAACAAGGGCCTAACGAGTGCAAAATAGCAAGAGCAAGGGCCTAGCATGTGCAAGAAATCAAGAACAAGGGCCTAGCGTTCGCGAAATAGCAAGAACAAGGGCCTAGCGTGTGCAAAATAAAAAGAACAAGGGTCTAGCATGTGCAAAATTGCAAGAACAAGGGCCTAGCGTGTGCAAAATAAAAAGAACAAGGGCATAACGTGTGCAAAATAGCAAGAACAAGGGCCTAGCGTGTGCAAAATAAAAAGAACAAGGGCCTAGCGTGTGCAAAATAAAAAGAACAAGGACCTAGCGTGTGCAAAATTGCAAGAACAAAGGCCTAACGTGTGCAAAATTGCAAGAACAAGGGCCTAGCGAGTGCAAAATAGCAAGAGCAAGGGCCTAGCGTGTGCAAAAAATCAAGAACAAGGGCCTAGCGTTTGCGAAATAGCAAGAACAAGGGCCTAGCGTGTGCAAAATAAAATGAACTAGGGTCTAGCATGTGCAAAATTGCAAGAGCAAGGGCCTAGCATGTGCAAAATAAAAAGAACAAGGGCGTAGCGTGTGCAAAATAAAAAGAACAAGGGCATAGCGCGTGCAAAATAAAAAGAACAAGGGCCTAGTGTGTGCAAAATAAAAAGAACAAGGGCCTAGCGTGTGCAAAATTGCAAGAACAAGGGCCTAGCGTGTGCAAAACTGCAAGAACAAGGGCCTAGCGTGTGCAAAATAGCAAGAGCAAGGGCCTAGCGTGACTGAGTCAAGGTAATGGTGCGGCGTGCTCTGTCCCGAGTGATCTGCAAGCCAAGGTAGCTGCGCAGTTCACCCAGGTCTGTGCACGTGTGTCTCTTCAGCAGCTCGGACTTCACGTAGGCGAGTCCAGCAGTGTCTGCTGTGGCAAAGACCAAGTCGTCGACGTACACGAGGATGTAGAACGGCGGCAGGGAAGTGTCGGTGCGAAGAAACAGCGACGGGTCAGCAGTAGAAGGAGCAAACCCAAGAGCCGCAAGCGTAGTCCTCAGTGTGTCGTGCCACTCACGCGGTGCCTGGCGGAGACCGTAGACTGGCCGTCGGAGGCTCCACTGGGTGCCAGGAGGGAAAGTCCCTGTGAAGCCAGGTGGACGGCGAAGCCAGATCTCCTCGTGCAGGCTACCCTGCAAGAACGCAGTGCTGAAGTCGAGAGAGTGAAGCTCGTAGTCGCGCTGAGCGGCTATGTGCAGCAGCACCCGAAGAGTAGTCATCTTCGGGGTGGGAGAGAAGGTCTGAAAGTAGTCAACTCCCTGCCGCTGACTGAAGCCACGAGCAACGTACCGTGCCTTGAAAACAGGTGGAGAGCCCGGCGGTCGCTTCACCCTGAAGATCCACATGCCACTGACGATGTTCGCCCCAGGAGGGGGAACCGCGTCAACGTAGGTGCCTGTGGACTTCCAGGAAGCCATCTCTGCATCCATAGCTGCCTGCCACTGAGAGGAGTAGGGACCCTCTACGGCCTCCGCGTAAGAACGCGGAGTCGGGATGTCTAGTGCATCCGGGTCTCCCTCAGGGGCAAGCAGTACAGACGCGAGATGAGGTGAAGCAGCCACTAGACACTGTAACTCCTCCTGCCTGTCCTCTAGGACGTCTGTGCCAAGAGCACACTCACCCCCGACGGACGGAGGACAGACAGACGCAGACTCTGCAACAAGACTAGCAGCGTAGTCGAGACGACAGCGAGCAGCAAAGTCGACGAGCTCAGCGACTAGAGCAGACGCAGCAGTGGACTCAAAAGAGGGGTCAGTGACGACAGTAGCAAGCAGACGCGTGACAGTAGGACTGGCAGCACGAAGAGAGTCCGACTCAGGGTCGGCAAGCGCAGGAAGAGAGGACTCAGGAGGAGAAGGCAAAGGGGCACGCAGAGGAGCAGTGGACGGACGCAAAGACATCCGGTGCGTGCCAGGGACAGGAGGAGGACGCTGACGCGAACTGCGACCACTAGCGCGAGCAGTGCGAACAGGCGACGCGGGACGAGACGCAGGCTCACGACGCTCAGCAAGACCTCCAGTAGGACCAGTGTAAGGAGAGGGAGCAGGCAGTGGAGAGGAAGGCTCCAGCAGGGACTGCGACTGGACAGGCGGTGGACCCTCTACTGGAGGAGAAAGACCAAGAACCTGCTGCAGGAGCGGAACGAAGTACGGCCGAGGCCGCGCGGCAGCTCGAGACGCAGCAGGGACAGCACCAGCACCCTCAGCGACAGCACCAGCGCCACCCACACCTCCAGCGGCAGGACCAACAGCAGTAGGCTCAGCACCAGCGCCCTCAGCAGCTCCAGCACCAGGAGGACCCGCAGGTCCAGCAGCTCCGGGACCGGCAGCACCCGCACCCTCGACGGTCGAAGAAGCTCCAGCTCCAGCTCCAGCAGCACCTCCAGACTCAGCAGCACGCCTCCAGCGGCGAGCGAACCACTCGCGCAGCTCCTGTGGAGAGAGGGGCTCCCGGCGAGACGCAGCAGCAGGAGAAACCCCAGGCTCAGCAGCTCCAGACGCAGCACCCCCAGGCTCAGCAGCTCCCAGCTCAGCACCCCCAGGCTCAGCAGCTCCCGACCCAGCACCCCCAGACCCAGCACCTCCAGGCACAGCACCCCCCGGCTCAGCACCCCCAGGCTCCGCACCCTCCGCAGTAGCACCCTCAGGCCCAGCACCCCCAGCAGTAGCACCCCCAGGCTCAGCACCCCCGCGCACAGCACCCCCAGAGTCAGCACCTCCAGGCTCAGCACCCGCAGCAGCACCAGAGTCACCAGTAACCTCGACCGGGTCAACGGCGTCTACCTGGGACACACCTGAGGGGGCAGGAACCTGAGGGGGGAGGGGTTCTACCGGGGGGGGAACCGGCACAAGGAAGTCCGGGGGAGGGGGGAGGGAAGGAGTGCGGTAGGGGAAGAGACGGTAGAAGGGGACTGACTCGTCGAACGTGACGTCCTGGGAGGACAGAACACGACGAGAGGAGGGGTGGTAAAACTGCCACCCTGGGGCGTCAGTGGGGAAGCCAAGGAAGACACAGGGAGCAGCACGAGGGGACAGCTTGTCCGCAGACAAGTCGCGGACAAACGCCCGAGATCCCCAGACACGGAACACAGACGCATCGCCAACCTTCCCCGTCCACAGCAAGGCTGGGGACATCGCAGGCCGAGAGACCCGGGGGTGAAGGTTGAGCTGATGCGCCGCGTACCTCACCGCAAACGGCCACAGAAAATGGGGGGCAGCCGCATGCATCATGGACGTACGAGCGACATCCATGACCATACCAATGCGGCGCTCAGCAATCCCATTTTGCTTGGTGAGTCCGGAAGCGTGAAGGTCTGGCGGATCCCCCGTGCACGACAGTTGTCCCGCAGAAGGCGAGAAGAGAACTCTCCGCCTCTGTCAGAGTGCAGACGCAGAACAGGAAAGTCCGAGCCGAAGCTCTTCCTGAGCTGGAGACGAGCCTCGCGGATCCAGTCGATCAGCACCTCAGTGACCGCACCCTTGCTGCGCAAGGGGAGGACTGTGGTGTAACGCGAGTAGTCGTCAACCACCAACAGGACGTAGCGCTCGTAACCCTGCCCACGGACGGGGGCTGGGCCCCACACATCCATGTGAAGCGTCTGCAGGGGAGCCTCTGTCGGGGGGAAGTGGGAGGAGTGAGGAGTAGCCCGGAGGCGACCCTCGACACAGGGGACACAGGAAGGTCCTGGCCCGGAGGGGAGAGGAGGGAGAGACTGGGGAAGACCAGAGACAAGGACACGGGAAGCCATGCTCCGAAGACGGGGCAAGGAGGGGTGGCCAAGACGGTGGTGCCACAGGAGAGTCTCGTGAGACAGGAGGCGACAAGAACAGGGGGCAGACTCAGGACCTGACCGGGACGCAGCAGCAAGCACCTGACCCGACGCAGCCACCTGACCAGACGCAGGGACAGGAGGAGACTCAACGGTCAGGGTGTAGAGACTCGACCCCGGCCGACGCGAGAACGTGGCCAGGTGTCGGCCTGTGCGTGCCTCCGTGCAGTGGGTCACCCGCTGACTCGCAGGAGTGAACTGGTGAACCCCCACATCCTGCAGGTCCGCTCCACTCACCAAGTTCGTAGAGAACGAGGGAAGGTACAGACCCGACAGGGTGCCCGAAGGGGCAGCCGGACACAGGAGGACAGTGGAGAAGTGAGACAGGACAGGACCCCCAGAGGGGTCAGCAAGGGAGACCGCAACCGGCCGGCCGAGCGGCGTAAGGGTAGTGCGGTCTCGAAAGAAGGAGCGAGAAGCTCCGGAGTCAAGTGTGAAAGTGAGGGAGGACGAGGACGACGCAGTACCTGAGAGCGCAGTCTCACCAGTACCTGAGAGCACAGACGCACTGGCACCTAGAGCAGCAGCCTCACAAGCACCTAGCGCAGCAGTACCAATGCCCGGGTCGGGCTGGAAACAACGGTAACCCTCATTCTCCTCACTATAATCCACAACATACATAGCAGCAACGATAGCATCAAAATCAAGATCAAAGATCGCTACACCAGCCCTGAGAAGCTCATCCCAGCGAGGGATCTCACTAGCCCCAGGGAACTGCTGACGCCAAGCGTCCGTCAGGCGGCCAAAGCAGCGCTGGGTGGCGTGGGCACCCCCACACTGCTCACCCGCGCGGTCGCCGGAACGAAGAACGTAGGTGCAGGGACCAGTACCCCCACCCCTCTGACGCCCAGCGTACCACTCACGAAGCTGCTGAGGCGGAGGGATGTCCCGCGAGCGCTGCTGCTGCTGCCGCTGCGAGCGCTGGCCACCACCACCGCCGCTACGCTGCTGGGTACCACCTCGACCAGCTCCACCTCCTCCACCACCACCGCCTCCTCCGCTGCCGCCTCCACCGCCTCCACCTCCGCCGCCTCCACCACCGCCGCTGCCTCCACCACCACCGCTGGCACCACCACCACCGTCTTCGCCACTACTGCCACCACCACCACCACCTCCACCACTAGTCCCGCCGCCACCCCCACTCCCTCCGCCGCCACCGCCGCCACCGCCACCGCTCCCTCCAGCTCCACCCGCGCCCCTGCCCCCCTTGCCCTTGCTGGAGCGACGTCTCCCACTAGGGGCAGACGCCGCGCCGACCGACTCAAGACCAAGCAGGTCGGCAGCAGCAGCAGAGGCAACAGAGGGCAGCAAGGGGGAAGGAGAGCACCCCTCAAAGATGGGGGTGCGAGGGTCACCACGAGAAGCACCTACAGCGACTATGCTCTTCTTCGCTGCAAGGAGGGCCTTCTCGAGGAGGTCGACGGTGAGGGTGGTGGGACAGACTGCGAGAAAGTGGTCCCTGACGACGCGAAGGGAGTCAGGGAGGCGCGCGACTACGTAGTAGAGAGCGATGTACATGGGGGGGGGGGTTCTTAGCGCTGAACTCAGCAGGAAGGGCGGCGCGGTAGCGAGTGTCACTAGTGCGGAGGTGCGTAATGAGGTCAGCGACAGTGGGAAAGGCAGAGAGGTCAGGAAAGAGGTAGGGAAGCATGAGACGGCTCAGTGCAGCAGTGGCAGGGGAGGAGTAGCGCGCAACTACAACGTCGTACAAGGTCTGAGCACTCTTGTACTGACTAAAGTGCGCACGCTCAGAGGTAGGGAGGTGGCGACGCATAGCAAGACGTGCAGCAGCATCGCGGGTGGCCCACTTAGAGCGGACAGCGGGATCAGCATCAGCAGCAGGAGCAAGAGAGGCGCCAGAGGTGAGGTCAAAGAGAGAAAGGTCGTCAGCCCTGTCGCACTGTAAGAACAGCTGCAGGTCGTCTAACCAGACCTCAAAATCAATGGCGCGACCCTCAGCGTCAAAAGCTAGGACACTAGGGGTAGCCATGGCGACGACAGCGACGCAGTGCAAGCAGTAGGGAAAGAGCTCGCAGTGTCAGTGGGACAGTGCTCACCAGGCAGGGCAGGTCGTGCAGCTATGCAGAAAGGCGGCTCAGCGACCGGGCGGCTCGGGTGCACAGCGGCTCGGCTCCCGGGCGGCTCGGCGGCTGGGCGGCTCGGGCGCAGGGCGGCTCGGCTCCCGGGCGGCTCGGCGGCTGGGCGGCTCGGGTGCAGGGCGGCTCGGCTCCCGAGCGGCACGGCGGCAGGGCGGCTCGGCTCCCGGGCGGTTCGGCTGCTGGGGCGGCTCGGCCGGGAGATGCAGGGGCGGGGCCGTCAGGTGCAGCGGCGGGTCGACCGGTGCAGTGGCGGGCCGGCAGGTGCAGCGGCGGGCCGGCAGGTGCAGCGGCGGGCCGGCAGGTGCAGCGGCGGGCCGGCAGGTGCAGCGGCGGGCTGGCAGGTGCAGGCGGCGGGCCGTAGGGTGCAGCGGCGGGCCGTAGGGTGCAGCGGCGGGCCGGCAGGTGCAGCGGCGGGGCCGTCAGGTGAGGCGGCGGGCTGGCAGGAGCAGCAGCGGGCCGAAGGGTGCAGCGGCAGGGCCGTCAGAGGCGGCGGGCCGCTGGGTGCAGCGGCGGGCCGGCAGGTGCAGCGGCGGGCCGGCAGGAGCAGCGGCGGGCCGGCACGAGCAGCGGCGGGGCCGTCAGGTGAGGCGGCGGGCCGGCAGGAGCAGCGGCGGGTCGTAGGGTGCAGCGGCGGGCCGTAGGGTGCAGCGGCGGGGCCGTCAGAGGCGGCGGCGGGGCCGCGGCAGTAGAGGCGGGGCCGCGTCAGGGGAGGCGGCGGGGCCGCGTCAGGGGAGGCGGCGGGGCCGCGTCAGGGGAGGCGGCGGGGCCGCGTCAGGGGAGGCGGCGGGGCCGCGTCAAGCAGGCGGCGGGGCCGCGATCAGGAGAGGTGGCGGGGCCGCGTCTGAGGGACAGCGGGGCCGCGAGGGAAAAGGCGACCCGAGGGGTCGCTAAAAAAAAAAAAAGGGCGCGCCTCGGGGCGCGCTTCGGTGGGCCCTAAAAAAAACGGTCCTAAGGCAGGACCCGCTCTATACCATGTGAAGCAAGGAAAACAGGAATGAGAATGACTAAGTCAGAGTTGGGTACAAATACAACCCTAGAAAGCTGTACCCCATATGTGCTACCCCACTATAGCCTACAAACATGCATCAGTTATAATAATCCGACATAGCGTGTGCAAAATAGCAAGAACAAGGGCCTAGCGTGTGCAAAATAAAAAGAACAAGGGCCTAGCGTGTGCAAAATAGCAAGAACAAGGGCCTAGCGTGTGCAAAATTACAAGAACAAGGGCCTAGCGTGTGCAAAATTGCAAGAACAAGGGCCTAGCGAGTGCAAAATAGCAAGAGCAAGGGCCTAGTGTGTGCAAAAAATCAAGAACAAAGGCCTAGCGTGCGCGAAATAGCAAGAACAAGGGCCTAACATGTGCAAAATAAAAAGAACAAGGGTCTAGCATGTGCAAAATTGCAAGAACAAAGGCCTAGAGTGTGCAAAATAAAAAGAACAAGGGCATAGCGTGTGCAAAATAGCTAGAACAAGGGCCTAGCATGTGCAAAATACAAGAACAAGGGCCTAGCGTGTGCAAAATAAAAAGAACAAGGGCCTAGCGTGTGCAAAATTGCAAGAACAAGGGCCTAGCGTGTGCAAAATTGCAAGAACAAGAGCCTAGCGAGTGCAAAATAGCAAGACCAAGGGCCTAGCGTATGCAAAAAATCAAGAACAAGGGCCTTGTGTTCGCGAAATAGCAAGAACAAGGGCCTAGCGTGTGCAAAATAAAAAGAACAAGGGCCTAGCGTGTGCAAAATTGCAAGAACAAGGGCCTAGCGTGTGCAAAATTGCAAGAACAAGGGCCTAACGAGTGCAAAATAGCAAGAGCAAGGGCCTAGCATGTGCAAAAAATCAAGAACAAGGGCCTAGCGTTCGCGAAATAGCAAGAACAAGGGCCTAGCGTGTGCAAAATAAAAAGAACAAGGGTCTAGCATGTGCAAAATTGCAAGAACAAGGGCCTAGCGTGTGCAAAATAAAAAGAACAAGGGCATGGCGTGTGCAAAATAAAAAGAACAAGGCCCTAGCGTGTGCAAAATAGAAAGAACAAGGGCCTAGCTTGTGCAAACTTGCAAGAACAAGGGCCTAGCGTGTGCAAAATTGCAAGAACAAGGGCCTAGCGAGTGCAAAATAGCAACAGCAAGGGCCTAGCATGTGCAAAAAATCAAGAACAAGGGCCTAGCGTTCACGAAATAGCAAGAGCAAGGGCCTAGCGTGTACAAAATAAAAAGAACAAGGGTCTAGCATGTGCAAAATTGCAAGAACAAGGGCCTAGCGTGAGCAAAATAAAAAGAACAAGAGCATAGCGTGTGCTATATAGCAAGAACAAGGGCATAGCTTGTGCAAAATAAAAAGAACAAGGGCCTAGCGTGTGCAAAATAAAAAGAAGAAGGGCCTAGCATGTGCAAAATTGCAAGAACAAGGGCCTAACGTGTGCAAAATTACAAGAACAAGGGCCTAACGAGTGCAAAATAGCAAGAGCAAGCGCCTAGCATGTGCAAGAAATCAAGAACAAGGGCCTAGCGTTCGCGAAATAGCAAGAACAAGGGCCTAGCGTGTGCAAAATCAAAAGAACAAGGGTCTAGCATGTGCAAAATTGCAAGAACAAGGGCCTAGCGTGTGCAAAATAAAAAGAACAAGGGCATAGCGTGTGCAAAATAAAAAGAACAAGGACCTAGCGTGTGCAAAATTGCAAGAACAAAGGCCTAACGTGTGCAAAATTGCAAGAACAAGGGCCTAGCGAGTGCAAAATAGCAAGAGCAAGGGCCTAGCGTGTGCAAAAAAATCAAGAACAAGGGCCTAGCGTTCGCGAAATAGCAAGAACAAGGGCCTAGCGTGTGCAAAATAAAAAGAACTAGGGTCTAGCATGTGCAAAATTGCAAGAGCAATGGCCTAGCATGTGCAAAATAAAAAGAACAAGGGCGTAGGGTGTGCAAAATAAAAAGAACAAGGGCATAGCGTGTGCAAAAAAAAAAGAACAAGGGCCTAGCGTGTGCAAAATAAAAAGAACAAGGGCCTAGCGTGTGCAAAATTGCAAGAACAAGGGCCTAGTGAGTGCAAAATAGCAAGAGCAAGGGCCTAGCGTGTGCAAAAAATCAAGAACAAGTGCCTAGCGTTTGCGAAATTGCAAGAACAAGGGCCTAGCGTGTGCAAAATAAAAAAAACAAGGGTCTAGCATGTGCAAAATTGCAAGAACAAGGGCTTAGCGTGTGCAAAATAAAAAGAACAAGGGCACAGCGAGTGCAAAATAGCCAGAACAAATGCCTAGCGTGTGCAAAATAAAAAGAACAAGGGCCTAGCGTGTGCAAAATAAAAAGAACAAGGGCCTAGCGTTTGCAAAATTGCAAGAACAAGGGCCTAGCATGTGCAAAATTGCAAGAACAAGGGCTTAGCGAGTGCAAAATAGCAAGAGCAAGGGCCTAGCGTTTGCAAAAAATCAAGAACAAGGGCCTAGGGTTCGCGAAATAGCAAGAACAAGGGCCTAGCGTGTGCAAAATAAAAAGAACAAGGGTCTAGCATGTGCAAAATTGCAAGAACAAGGGCCTAGCGTGTGCAAAATAAAAAGAAAAAGGGCATAGCGTGTGCAAAATAGCAAGAACAAGGGCCTAGCGTGTGCAAAATAGCAAGAACAAGGGCCTAGCGTGTGCAAAATAGCAAGAACAAGGGCCTAGCATGTGCAAAATTGCAAGAACAAGGGCCTAGAGTGTGCAAAATAGAAAGAACAAGGGCATAGCGTGTGCAAAATAGCAAGAACAAGGGCCTAGCATGTGCAAAATACAAAAAAAAGGGCCTAGCGTGTGCAAAATAAAAAGAACAAGGGCCTAGCGTGTGCAAAATTGCAAGAACAAGGGCCTAGCGAGTGCAAAATAGCAAGACCAAGTGCCTAGCGTATGCAAAAAATCAAGAACAAGGGCCTTGTGTCCGCGAAATAGCAAGAACAAGGGCCTAGCGTGTGCAAAATAAAAAGAACAAGGGTCTAGCATGTGCAAAATTGCAAGAACAAGGGCATAGCGTGTGCAAAATAAAAATAACACGGGCATAGCGTGTGCAAAATAAATAGAACAAGGGCATAGCGTGTGCAAAATAGCAAGAACAAGGTCCTAGCATGTGCAAAATACAAGAACAAGGGCCTAGCGTGTGCAAAATAAAAAGAACAAGGGCATAGCGTGTGCTAAATTGCAAGAACAAGGGCCTAGCGTGAGCAAAATTGCAAGAACAAGGGCCTAGCGAGTGCAAAATAGCAAGAGCAAGAGCCTAGCGTGTGCAAAAAATCAAGGACAAGGGCCTAGCGTTCGCGAAATAGCAAGAGCAAGGGCCTAGCGTGTGCAAAATAAAAAGAACAAGGGCATGGCGTGTGCAAAATAGCAAGAACAAGGGCCTAGCTTGTGCAAAATAAAAAGAACAAGGGCCTAGCGTGTGCAAAATAAAAAGAACAAGGGCCTAGCGTTTGCAAAATTGCAAGAACAAGGGCCTAGCATGTGCAAAATTGCAAGAACAAGGGCTTAGCGAGTGCAAAATAGCAAGAGCAAGGGCCTAGCGTGTGCAAAAAATCAAGAACAAGGGCCTAGCGTTCGCGAAATAGCAAAAACAAGGGCCTAGCGTGTGCAAAATAAAAAGAACAAGGGTCTAGCATGTGCAAAATTGCAAGAACAAGGGCCTAGCGTGTGCAAAATAAAAAGAACAAGGGCATAGCGTGTGCAAAATAGCAAGAACAGGGGCCTAGCGTGTGCAAAATAAAAAGAACAAGGGACTAGCATGTGCAAAATAAAGAGAACAAGGGCCTAGCATGTGCAAAATTGCAAGAACAAGGGCCTAGCGTGTGCAATATAAAAAGAACAAAGGCCTAGCGTGTGCAAAATAAAAGGAACAAAGGGCTAGCATGTGCAAAATTGCAGGAACAAGGGCCTAGCATGTGCAAAATTGCAGGAACAAGGGCCTAGCGAGTTCAAAATAGCAAGAGCAAGGGCCTAGCGTGTGCAATAAATCAAGAACAAGGGCCTAGCGTTCGTGAAATAGCAAGAACAAGGGCCTAGCGTGTGCAAAATAAAAAGAACAAGGGTCTAGCATGTGCAAAATTGCAAGAACAAGGGCCTAGCCTGTTCAAAATAAAAAGAACAAGGGCATAGCGTGTGCAAAATAGCAAGAACAAGGGCCTAGCGTGTGCAAAATAAAAAGAACAAGGGTCTAGCATGTGCGAAATTGCAAGAATAAGGGCCTAGCGTGTGCAAAATAAAAAGAACAAGGGCATAGCGTGTGCTAAATTGCAAGAACAAGGGCCTAGCGTGAGCAAAATTGCAAGAACAAGGGCCTAGCGAGTGCAAAATAGCAAGAGCAAGAGCCTAGCGTGTGCAAAAAATCAAGGACAAGGGCCTAGCGTTCGCGAAATAGCAAGAGCAAGGGCCTAGCGTGTGCAAAATAAAAAGAACAAGGGCATGGCGTGTGCAAAATAGCAAGAACAAGGGCCTAGCGTGTGCAAAATAAAAAGAACAAGGGCCTAGCGTGTGCAAAATAAAAAGAACAAGGGCCTAGCGTTTGCAAAATTGCAAGAACAAGGGCCTAGCATGTGCAAAATTGCAAGAACAAGGGCTTAGCGAGTGCAAAATAGCAAGAGCAAGGGCCTAGCGTGTGCAAAAAATCAAGAACAAGGGCCTAGCGTTCGCGA